AAATTTTAAATATATTATATATATATTTCATTTCTTAACTTGGACTTTTGGTCTTCCTGTGTTACATAGAATTTTTATTTGAAATAATGTGAATTAATTGACTATTTCAAAATTCCTTTTTGACATTTTATTTTACAGTTTGGAACTTGAGATGAAACATTACATTGCATAACTAAAGTAACATTTTGTGTTTTAGAATTTGGAAGAAATGGAGAAGAATAATGATAATCTACTTCTTGTTACCCAAACCGAACTCAAGGAAGAAATGATGAAACTGAAAAGAGATCTTATGAGAAAAACTGTAAGTTATACTTCAGATTGGAAATGTGCATTGAGGGAAGCACTGAAGTGTTTTATTTCCTGATGTATGGAAGTCGTTGGTTTAGAAAATAAACAAGTTTGCTGTTTCCTTTCCTTAAACAGCAACAGCAAGCGTTGAGAGATGCTCATCAGACTCTTCAGTCCCTGTTCCATTGATGAGAAGATCCTTTGAAGAAGGAGCTTGAACCTAAGTGATGGAATTCAAATGTCAGCTAAGAAGCACATGTTTAGACAAGTAATTTTGGTTAAAATGATAACATCTTTAGTTATTAGCGTGCTTATCCCTCCTCATCCTTTATTCAAAACCAAAGTCAGTTAAGTAACTACAAACTATTCCTGTGTGTTAAACATTTAAGTCTTTGTTGTTCTAGTGAATTTTTCTCGCTAGCACTATTGTTATCAATAAAGATGGTTTAAATTTAGATTTTGCCCTTAGTGAATCTTTCATTCCTCAAAGGTACTACAAAGTTCAGACTCGGAAGGCTACGTTGATTTCTTTTATTTTACTGAATCTCATCCTGTGTCTCAGATTGGTGTTCCTATTTTGGGCTCAAGGGATCCTCACACCTCAGCCTCCCAACTAGCTCAGGTTCTACAGGTGTGCACCACCATGCCTAGCATACATGGCTCTTTACCGAAAACCCCTCCAAAAGCTATTTCCCATACTCACTAAATTGCATTACCCGTTCTAACAAAGGAACAGTTTCTTTGACTCACTTGACAATTGATTAAAGAACTTAAGGTTAACTTTATGTTTTGAACTACACAGTTAAGGCATTAATAAAGTGACAAGATTTATGCATACAGTATACATCTATACAAGATGTATACAGTATACAAGATTTATACATCAGTTTTAAGACATGGATCTGTGAATGTTGTTCACGTGGTATAAAAATGTCATTCTCATTGGAATTGGTCTGCAGTTAAATGGAACATACCCATAGTAAGGGGTACGAGAAGATCATGATTTAGCTGGTATGTGCAGTGCTTGTGTAGCATGTGAAGCTCTGGGTTTACGCTTTAACATTTCCACCACCTCCAAAAAAGTAAATACCTAGTTTCAAACATTTCATTATAATATAGCCATTCTGACTGGATCGATAAAAGAGCTCTTCATGAACATAACCACTTAGGAATGTTGATGGAGTCTTTGTCCTCAAAGATAAAGTCCCAAGAATGTCTTCAGTGTTAATGTTCAATAATTATGGGGAAGTTAGATAATTATTTTTATTATTGAGATGAGGCACCTCAGGACTTACCTACCATAGCTACATCATGCTACCACCCTACCTAATCCCAGCAACTGAAAACTTAGAGGCATTTGTCTCCCAAGTGTGTGAAAAGTTTGGCCCAGCCACCTACATGTGAGTTTGAGAAAAAGACCAGCATGTGCTGGTCACTCTAGATAACTGCTTTTCTAAAACTTTTGTATTTTTCGGTTGGTTTGCACCCAAGGAAGACACTGTTAAAGAACTTTTCCAACCCTGAGAAAGTGTTGTTGGGGGGGGGGTGCTTGATTTTTCTGTATAAAAGCCTACCCTGAGGAAGGCTCACGGGTGTACTTGGGACCTGAATGCCTAGTGTAGTTGCTGCCCCGCTCTAAACACATTCTTTTGGCTCTTTTCTGTGTCTGAGTAGTCTTCTCTAGTGGGTTACTTATTTGGAGGCCCCCCGCGAGATCCCTAGAGATTTAGACCTCAGATACTCGGGGCAGAAGGAGAGTAGGTTTGGACCGACAGACTCCTAGGAGAGGCACCTCCTAGGACAGATATTCCAGAGCCCCGGGACCTCTGGGCCCCACTGCCCGATATCCCGACCCCAAAGATTTTTTTTGAAGATCATAGAACGTCATCTGGTTTCGAAAACCTCTGGAGGTAAGTCAGGCTGAGGCAGTCTCAGTAGGGGGCACTCAGGAGAGCTGGGTATGGCCACTAATCTTGTGTCCAGAGAACCGTGTGAGAAGTCACCGGCCCTTTGTAATTAAAATTTTACAAACTGGTGTATGAGTGCTTGGTGGCCACCACATATTTGTTTTATTTGTGCTGGTCTCTGTTGTCTGTTTCTGTCAATCTGTCACCTATGTCAATATGGGAGGGGGGCTGAGCTCTTCTAAGACTCCCCTGAAGTGCATACTTAAGGATTCTAGGGATGGTTTCGTGGTGAGAATGACTGTGGCATCCGTTTCTCACCCAGAAAACCCTGACATGCTGTGAACTCACGTGGCTGACTTTTGAGGTGGGATGGCCCAGTGAGGGGATCCTGAATGTCTGAATGGCCCAAGCAGCCTGAAGCGTGGTCACCAGACCAGCCCATGGCGGAGCACTGCACACACAAAAAGAAGCAGTGCCTGCGCTGCTTCCTCCTTTGGCCACAGCGGCAACAGCCACAGGCTAAAGAACCAGTCGGGAATGTCACGAGGCATCTCAGGACAGACTAAAACTGTGCCATATTACAACCCTAGTTAATCCCAGTAACTACAAACAAGAGGGAATTGTCTCAAAGCGTGTGCATATAAAAATTAAGCCCAGCTACCAGGATGTGGGTTTGAGAAAGGTCGGCGTGTGCCTCGTCGCTCTGGCTAACTGCATTTCTAAAACGTTTTTGTAGTTTTTGCTTGACTGGCACCTGCAGGAAGAAACTGTTAGGAACTTTTCCACCCCTGAGCAATGAGAAACTGTTGGGAGGGGGGGCTTTGATTTCTCTGAATTAAAGCCTACCCTGAGAAAGGCTCGGGGCTGTACTTGGGACCCGAATGCCCAGTGTAGTCACCAGCTGGCCACAGAGACATTCTTTTGGCTATTTTCTGTGTTCGAGTGGGTGTCTCTGGTGGGTTACCTCGTAAGATTATCAAACATGAAAAGTTAATCTTAACTTTTAACTTAACCTTTTAACTATATTTTTCCCCAGAGAAATCTGGAATACATTTGATTTAATAAACGTGAAACAGATTCAAAATAAGTTTGTGCTGAGCAAAATTCTCCCCTGAGATCTCTGGGATCCCAGGAACACACGGTCTGAACTCGGGCTGAAAGAAATCTACACAATGCATTCTGTTTGGGCTTTTGTCTAGTTTATGGCATCTCGGAAAGGGTTACTTAGAAAGGCATGATTGCCTGTGGGCCCTGCTTTTACATCTTGGCTAAGTTTTGAGTTCTGCCACCTGCCGGCAGCCTGCCAGCTATCCGCGTGCCTGGTTCGCCAAGATGACGACTCTCCCCTTCTTACCAGTGTCCTCAGTGCTTCCCCAAGTACTTACCGCTTCCCAGTGTCCTCAGCCAGCTTCTGTCCTTAGACCCTGCTCCTCATGAGTGAGTGGGTGGGAGGAGTGACTGTCTCGGAGGACACGCCTACCCAACACTACACCCCTTCCTCCAGATCTCACAATCTTTCTGTCAATCTTCCAAAAGGGTCCCCGAGTCTTGGAGGGGGTGACAGATGCAGGATGATCTTTTCTTCTTTCATGTGGTGAGATATTGGACACCTGGGCTTCCCCATCTTTCGTTCTCAAGACGTGGGTGTTGATCCATCTCAGTGGTGAATCCCCTACTATAGAGACAAATGAAAGGAAGTAGACACGTCGAAACAAATATGGGTGTAAATACAAATGCCTAGAAGATACCCAGCAGGTGTACCATATTTATC